TCAGAGCTAAACGTCTGTGTGTTTAACTCTTTGAAATAATAAGCAGTTAAGGTTTTACTGAACTTACAGAACTTTATATTAGAGTCAAGACTTTACATTTTAATTTCCTTGGCACCACTCTAACTGACGTACGAGTGTTGGACTTTACATCTTTCTTTCTCTCTCTCTTCTCTTTTTACCAGACGACAAAAAAGGGGGCCCCCATCTTGAATTTCCTCCTTCAGTTGTTTTGACTTTAGAGGGCCAAGCTAGCTAAAGCAGTGACTGCAGTGCTTATACACTCACACCCACACACACAAAACACACTCTGAGGCCTTCGTCGAGTTTTCGCTGCTAATCACTCTCATATGTGCAGGGGCCACTGGAAGGCGTGTTGTTTTATCTCACGTCATCATCTGCGCGTATGGCTGCGAGCATGTGTTGCCGGTTAACACTTAAACACGGCGCGAAGGTAAGAGCCTTGGAGAATTAGAAACGACAGGCCTTTCTGTAAAGGAGCAAATAGATTTTGTGTGTGTCCAGGACGGTCGTGCACACGCATGATTGTGTATGCGGTCAGCCGAGTCAGAACATCAGCATCAGCTTGAAGACTCGAGTGGATTAAGAGCTTAGAGACACACTCCTCCAGAGCTTTACACACAAACCCCCTTCATTCCCTTCACAGGATCGGGGTGACTTAATCTCTAATTTATTCCTCTCGGTGCCAGCTCCCCACGAACCCTTATTGCTAAAGGAACGCCTCGGACTGAACATACAAGGTACTGAGTTGTATCAAAAAAAAATACAACTCAGTACGTCATCTATTTGGCTACTGAGTGACTTTTAAGTTCTATTTGTAACGATGCATCTGTGAATCTTCTCAAGTTTTAGTATTTAATAAAGATAAAGGCGAGCTATAGTGACAGGTTACTTTGTCCACGCTGTTTATATCAATAAGAGACGGCTCAACAACAGAAACACCTCTCTGTAGTTCAACAGCACAACAAACTGCAGCCTCCAAATTGATCATGAAGTTGAATGAACAAAAGCTGAACATCATAACCGTCATGAAGGTCGGATTTATTGCAGAACTGTTGTAATAGACTGCATTAGTGTTAGGTAGGTGTACCTAATAAACTGGCAGCTGAGTTTATTTTAAAAGGAGTCCAATTAACAGAATCAAGACATGACGCAGAAATGCAGCAGCATCACTGGATGATTTTGATGATGTTATTCCATGGAAGATTTTAAATGCTTAAATACAAACAAATCAAACAAAGAAGTAAAGTGAAATGCAAATACAATACAAATTGCCATGTGTATTGTCTTTTTACGTATGCAGTTTTCTTCAACATAATTGAATGAAAACATATGTTAAGAGGAGGCTGGAGGGACTAAAGACCAAAAATAAAGTTTGGACTCAAACGCTTGGTTATATAACACTCTTGTTAGGCCTTTTATCTCCTCTGAAAAAACAGATGTAAGCTTCTCTGTTTACATGTTAGCTGTAGTTGCAAAAGTAATAGGAACACAGGAAATGCCAAAGTTTCTAAGTGAGGTATGACAGACTGATAATCTCACATACTGATGATCTTAGATTCAAAATCAGTATTCTGTTGAGGGATAAGGAAAGATGCAGCACAGACACAGCAGTAAGTTTACTGTTCATTAATTACAGCACAAACAGCCTATAAAGTTATATAATTATTATTCACGTTTTTGCAGAAAAATATAATGTCATTGTGGATCTCCCATGGATGCTTACATGTATTTTGATTGGCCAGTTCAGTGCATTAAAATGAATCAAATGAGTGAGGGAGCTGATTTCATGTACTGGTCAGCTAGTAACCAAAAAGATTCGTATAGTTCATTTAGTCTGCACATGTGGATTTAGATATGTGTGATGTGATAGAGCTCTTAAAGCAGGAATATCTAATTGGATCCCAGTCATATGCACGTGCTTCAAACAGTAGTTTGGGTCTAGATGTGAGATGCCAAAGAGATAGATAATGATTCTAATGCGATCAGGCAGAAGTGAACGGGTGTGTGTGTGTGGCCTCGATCCAGACCCAAACTTAGATTGTTATTTAATCCCTGTGTCAATTTAGTTACTGATATCCCAAGAACTTTGGATAAATACAGACATGAGATAAAGAAGTAGCGCTGGAGAGAGGTGGGGAAAGAAAAGCGATGGAGACAAAACACGTGAACACATGGTAAAAAATAGACAAATTAAAAAAGAGTGGAATGGAAATAAAACTGTAAGAGCATGAAACTGAGATGTTTGGACAGGAAGGAAGAGTTATGATGAAAGATGTTTTGAGCCAAAGCTGGAGTAACTCATTATATCTCCTAATTTGCCGCTCCGTTTGCTTTATTGTTTATCGTCAGTTCTAATGTGGCAGAACTTGGACAAAGATCTCTGTTGCTTTTCGGCTCATTTGTGGTTCTGACTCCTGAGTGACCGTGAGAGCTGAGTGCAGTCAAAGTCAGTGCAGAGAAATCAGGCCGTCTGTGTGACAGTACAATGTGCTGTACAGTAAATACCCTTAAAGATCCCTATCATCCCTGTGTTTGCCTCTTGATGCCAGCCACATGTCAGGGAGACAGACATTGATTCTAATGGGATCAGGCAGACGTTAATGAACATGGGGCTCTCTCTCTGTCTGTGTGTGTGTGTGTGTATGTGTGTGTGTGTGTGTGTGTGTGTGTGTGTGTGTGTGTGTGTGTGTGTGTGCGCGTGCATGTGTGTGTGTGTGTGTGTTTCTGGGGCAGGTCGTCTGTGCCCTGGCATACAGCTTAAACCTGCAGTGGATTTGTTTTTATCTCTGCTGTCTTTATCTCGTTAGACGAACTGAGCCACATAAGGACACTTTGTGTTGGAGCTGAAGTTTGACGGCATTTGATCGAATCAGAATCCGATGTGTGATCTGCTTATTGAATCCGCTTCCTTTGAAATCACCTTATCCAGTCTATTTACAGTTTAGTTTCTAAGAATTTTAGGTTGTAAATAAAGTCAGGCCACATCATTTTTCTGTAGGGATATTGTCCATCACAAATAAGTCATGAAAACAGACTGTGGAAATAAATATCATCCTGATTTTACATATTGTCATTTTTCTGTTTTGGTCTATTCTGTATGCACCGCAGCTATTGCATGTGTACCTGTCTGGGAAGAGGTATTCCTCCTCTGTTGAGGTTTCTTCCATTGTTTTCCCCATTAAAGAGCTTTTTAGGGGCAGGTTCTTTATGCAAATCCAGGGTCTATTTATTTCAAAGGTTCCACGTCTGAAAGTTTGTAGTTGTTTTCATTTGTACGGTAGAAGCCACAAATACACACAATATACACTCCTAATGGTCTCAACTGGAGGCTGGAAATGTTGCCAAACAAAATTAGATCAAGGTGAAGACAACATCTGATTTGTTGCCATCGGTTCAACCTGTTCAGACGTTCAAGGGCGTTGTGAGAACATCCTTATCCAAACATGTTCAACCTCATCTCAACCAAGTTGGAGAATGAAACTCAACTTAATCTAGACACCCAAGTTTATGAGTGTAGATCTATATAACAATATTATACTAAACTAAGAAGTGGTCATCACACTTTGGTTTCATGAAACCTTTGTTAAAAAATATTTAAAATGTATTGCAGTGTAAATCCTGTCTTGTGTATGATTCTGGATCCTGAGCTGACTGTGTTGTCACTCCTCTAATGGCCACCTCTTAGCAATGTTTCACTGTAACCTAATCTTAACATTTAGTAAATGTCACCTCTCTGGTCAAGCAGAAACTGTCCTTTTGCAAAGGCCAGCAGGACTCATGAGACAGAACCTGTCCCTGTTAGGCCTCTCTGTTTCATGGAGGGATTCTGGCAACACTCAAACAGTCTGCTGTGCCAGGGACAAGAAGTCTGTGTGTCCTTTCCCAAACTGCCTCAAAGCACAAATGAAATGGGACAAATCCCCAGAGAAGTCAGATAAAGACCCGTAGGAAAAGTGCTCAGAAAAGAAAGAATGAGAAAACATGGAGATAAGAGGAGATACTGTTTGAGTGTGTAACATGTAAGAATGAAAACACTGGCTAAGTATGACCGCAGTTTGGGAACATGTCAGCGGCGGTTCTGCAGCACCTGTGCCAGGGTGCCGAGCTTTTCTAGGTCAGGGGTTCAGGAGGCGGCTACACCTGAATGCATCGCTCCTGCTGCGGTCTGGAACATTCCTCCGGGCTTCAGTAATGACCTCCTAATGGCACTAATGATCCTCCACAGAGGAGCCCTGCTCCACATGGGTCTGATGTGGAGGAGGGAGGAGGAGGGAGGATGTGAGGGGGAGAAAGGTAAACATTGAAATTGGGAGAAAGATGGAGTTAGTTGTGGATGAGTGAAATGGAGAAGGACGGGAGCGAGAGTTCTGTGGGAAGAGGGAAGGAGGTGTGGGGGGGGGGGGACCTTGAACAAAGAGGTAAACAAAAGAAAGCAGGAGAAAGACAGAGGGAAAGTGAAATGTACATACATACATGTATTTGATGCAGGAAACTGGAGTTTGCATCCAGTCATAGACCTACAATTAATGTTTGCTCTTCATCACAACCTTACCTTCACCTTCACTGTTTTACCTACCTAACCTCGAGCATCCCTTAACCAGAGTTTCTTTGCCATAACCGGGATCTTTTCCTAACCTTAACTATTCCCTAGTTGCCATTCACAGATACTTCAGTAAGAAATCATTTTAAAAATATTGATATTGAATGTCAAACTACATTGTAACTGAACCTGATGTAGAGTTTTGTTTACGGGAGATAGGGTTTGAAAAAAGCATCAGCAAGAGGGATTTTATGAGAAGCATATGAGCCTGTTGTCTGACCGTACACACGTCCTTTAGCTTCTTTCTTTGTTTGCCTGTAACAATTTCTACTTAAAAAAAATGATTTTGTCTTCTCTTCCCCATGTTTTCCTCACCCCATTTCTCCTCTTGCCCTCTCCCCCCTCTCTTTTTCTTGTCTTGATGATGTTGTATGTGGAGGTGAGTTATCCATGGGCGAGCTCCAGGATCCCTTCCTTGTCAGTGTCCATCTCATCGCCGACCCCGGCCAGGGCAAGTTCCTGCAGCATGCTGCCGACGCTGTGCTGGCGTGGGTTCACCCTGAGCTGCAGCTCTTCAGAGTCTCAGAGCGGGCCTCGGTCTCCCAGCGGCCCTGGCCCAAGCACCATCCAAACAGCAGCCTGACAGCGGCATGCCAGCCGGCCTTAGCCGTCATCGTCTTCCTCCAGGAGGCATATGGTGGCGAGGAGCAGATACTGATGCTGCACCGCGCTCTGCAGAGGCCGCCCTGGCGATACCACCACACTGAAAAAGTCAGCAACGGCCGGCGGATGTTACCCCTGACACCGTGCAGTCAGGACTTTTTCACTCTGTCTCCTGGAACCCCGCTCTGGGCCGTGCGACAGGTGCATTATGGGAAAGAAATAGTGCGATTTACTGTTTATTGCCGACATGAAAATTATGTCGACATGGTGCGGCTGTACAAGCTGCTGCTTCAGCGGAGGGTGGCGCAGAAGAAGGAGGACTTTTGCTTCTTTGTGGTGTACTCCAACCCAGACATGGAGATCCAGTTGTCATTTAAGAGGCTCCCGCGAGGTCAGGGTCCACTGGTGCTGGAGTCGGCCGTGATGGAGGTGAGGGTACGGGACGTCGGAGCGCTGGTGCCCCTGCTGCCACACCCCTGCAGCCCAATCAGTGAGGTCCGCTGGCAGACGGAGGACTACGATGGAAATAAGATCCTCCTGCAGGTGAGAGTAGTATCAAAAAAATGACATCATTTACCAACTGTACGTGCACGTATGTTACCCAGGTTACACTGATGACCTCCAGTGTTAGTTAGTTCAGGATATTCAAAGAACAACTTATTTGATTTCAATTAAATTTGATGAAAACGTGGCCTTTTGTAAAGCACTTTACATTTTGGCTCATATTTCCTGAAATATAAATTGTATCATTCCCCTGGCTCAAGACTAATCTGTCAGTATCTAGTATTTCCCAGAATTGAAATAAGTTTTATCTGTAAAGCTCTAAAAGTAACGAGCTCACACAGCAGTAAAAGAAGCATCAAGTCCCTTTAATCCCTCCATCATCCAGATTGATTAAAATTTGCATGCTGACGATTACACAACAATCTGTGCTGCTGTAAGTGTGTGCGATTGAATACGCACTCTCACATAAAGTGGTCCTTGTTTGGAGGGTATCAGTTTCAGAGGGGATGTGTGTCCAGGCAGCGGGAGGTAAATCTTTTTGAAAGTTCAATCCGATTAACCTGCAGTCCATTACTGGGATTGGAACAGTGCTGAGGGAAACAATAAGCTGATCTGTCATGACAATGGACCATATGCATGATGCCTAACTGCCACCTGGCCTGAGGTCATGTGCTCCTGTGACTTGCCGCGGCATTACACCCTGTCAGTGACACAGCGATGTGGTTGGCAGGCAGAGTAGCATGTGATCAGCCTTTGATGTCTGTAACAACTTATAAATATGTGTATACCATGAAGTTTCATTATGTGACGGGCCGCTGGCTCTGGATTCCCCACTGTAGTTTCAGAGTTTCCCAACATAAGAACATTGGATAATTTAACAATATAATATGTTAATCTTATGACCATCAGTTGTTGTCATAACTGTGACAGTTTTATATCTGTTTGTTGTGGCGGATGAATTTAAATCCAATGAAAATAAGGCATCCAATTTCTTTTTTTTTTTAACACAATCAGTTCAAAGAAGTTGAAAGAAGTTTTTTGTTTTTTGCTAAAGAATTGTGATCAAGATATTCGCTGCGCAAGACGTTTCACATCTAACAGATCATTGTAAGTTCTCTCTCTGGCGGACAAACTGTCAAATACTACCACTACAAATGTATCTTTGGCATCTGCACACTGCAATTTCTTGATACTTATCAGACAAAATATCTGCCAGTATAACATAATATCAGTTCGGCCAATTTATTGTTCAGGCTCTAAATACTGCAATACCCATGAGTTTCAGTCTGCTGTGGAGAAGCAGCCAGTCACAGGCGTGAATCCAAGCTGTACCAAATTCAGAGCACTTACGGAACATGAACTAAAGTGCACTATACTTTTTTTGCATTCATCCACCACTGATCCAGAATCTGATCTGAAAGGGAACTGATTTAAACCGCAGACTGTTTTGTCAACTTGTAATTTGTAGCTTCAACCTTCCATTAGCATTGCACAACGCAGAATTTCTAAGCGCTATGATTGGATGTTCCTTTCTTAACTTCTGTCCCTCGGTTTTATGTCTACAGGCTTGTACCGTTCACTTTTTATCGGAGGCTTTTTATTTTCTTACACAGCTGCTCATCTTTTTTTAATTGATGGTTGAACTCATTGTCCACCCAAGAGTGCTCCAGCTGTCAGTCATCTAACCTTGTCTTGTCTGTGGGATGGGAACAACAAAAATGCAACTTGGCGATATGCTGTTGTAGCCTATTATAGAATCCAAGGTTGCAACTAATGCCAATTCGCATTATCAGTTTAAATCCCCATTATTTTCTTGGATTTGTCTCAGCATCAGAAAATAGTGAATAATTCCCATTGTAAATTCCCAGCCTTCAAATGTCGTGTTTTGTTTGACCAACAGTCCAACACTGAGATATTCAGTTAACTGCCTCATATGACAAAGAACATCGGAAAAACGTTTCATTTTAGCAACTGGAAAAAGGGAATGTTCCGCATTTTTGTTGAAAAATGACTGAAACAATGATTAATCAATCAGTCGCTCGACAGAAAATGAATCAGCTATTTTGACATTATGATATTGTATTTGATCGATTAATGTTTTATTTATTCTTCTTAATTTTTATAGAGAATATTCCCAACATTAACTGGATACAGCTCCTCATATAAAATGATTTGCTCGGTTATGGACTGTATGGATTTCTCACTATTCCCTGATATTTTATCGACCAAACAACTAATCAATTAATCAAGAACATTATAGACGGAATTATTTGATTATGAAAATCGTTAACAGCAGCCCTAGGTGCAGATTAATATTCTGTTGACCTACTAATCAAATAATCAGCTAATCGTTTCAGCTTTAATGGGATCAAAGCTTTGGAAACCACCACCAACCAGCCACAACCAAACTGCTGAGCAGATGAAGAACAAGTTTATTAACTGAAATCACACATTTTCTTGCTCCTGCAGTATTGCGTAGTTGAGGATAAGTGTTCAGTTGTGCTGTTTTTGGCAGGCTGAGGTCAGATCTCCGGCTGACCGGGCTTATCCCAAGATGACTAAAGCTCACAAGAGTAAGGGTCTGATCATCGGCATGTCAACAACCTCATTACCCAGCACCCCCTGCTGCGGCTCCTCACCAGCACTGTAGCATGTTGTCCCCATGGAAAACTGGACAGATCCTGTCATGTCACGTTAGCAGACAGAGGCACACACGCTTTCATCCGAACATGCACAGTTTTAGTAAATAACGAATGTGCAGTGGCCCTGCAGCATCTCTGGGATAACGGCAAACACACACACACACACACACTTGTTCTGCTTCGGCCTCCTTCAAGTGTCATTTAGTTTGAAATTACAACACTCACTGCCTACTTCATTCCTGTACGGGAGAGAGAAGTGTGCAGCTGTACAACCGCATCTTGGCTCAGAGCGCAGGAGAGCGTCGGAAGAAGAAAGACGAAGTGAAGAAGAAAGTGAGAGAAAGATAAACAGGAGGAAGTCGACTGAGAACAGAAACGGAGGGGAAAGGTGGTTTAGAAAAGAACCGACTTTGAGACATTGAGCAGAGAGAGGGGAAAACAGTTGGGCTTTGTTACACACACACACACACACACACACACACACACACACACACACACACACACACAAACACACGCACACAGACACAGACAAACAAACACTAGTTTTAAACTAATGATTTCGTAAATCAGGTTGCACTGTTAAAGTAGTAGGCACACAAGATATTGGTTTATGCTAACCAAGTTGACGTTATTTACTCATTTAGTCAAATGTAACGGGCATAATTCTTTTGTTATTTCATGTAAACTGTTCTATTTTCAAAATGTAATTTAAAATATTTAAGATTTACTTTATTATCAAACTGTGTTTTATCAAGTCTCAGGACAGATATGTCGACTGTTTCTTCATTCTGAACGTGATACAATAGCAAGCTAATTTAGTTTAGCTTGTTTAGCTAAGTCAGTTTTGTTAATTGGTTCAGTCAGCTACACCTGAAAGTTACTGGGTGAACATATTCAGTAACAACTTACCTCTGCAAATTACTTTGTGTGGTGCAGCAGGTTTAAACTTAGTGATGTGTAAAATTCAATTAAGTAAACACTTATGCTAAGTTTGAACAGCTGGTGCAACCGGCTCCGGTTTACTTGGATTACAAAAAACTGATTTTCTGACTGATTCATCTCTAGCCATGTGGTGAGGTTTTCACAGACAGTCCAGACCATAAGTATTTGGACAGTTACTTATTTTTTTGTTCTTCGTGCTCTTTGCTTCAATAGGAAATTTAAATAAAGGTTTCAAGAAAATAAGACGTTTAGGACTCAGTTACAAGAAGGAGTTACAGGCCCAAGGGATTAAAAGAAACAGACAAGAAGTTATATATACATATATATCTGCTACATTTGGGTGGATCTCCGTGAATTGATTCATGTAATCAATTAATCATATAGCCTATAAAATGTTCAAAAATGGTGAAAAATGTCCAACAGAATTTCCCAGCACCCAAAGTCACATCTTACATGACAACAATCTAAATTTAATATAAAACAAAGGAAAACCAGCAAATGTTTCATTTATTTCTGTATTAATTTCTCAAATAATGAATTGGGGATAAGTGTATATTTGTATTCAAGCCTTTATGATGAGTAGGAACAGAGACATCAGTTGTTCCCTGCACCGACTTTAGTCTGACAGGAGCATATGGTAAATCACAGTTCAACTCTTGTTCTCAGGGCATTTAAAGTTCTGCTTCCATGATATTTATTGTTGTTGAATCTGAACATATGGAAATCTGCAAAACTCCCCTCCATCCCCGCATGCACTTGGAAATAATTGTCTTGAGGCTGCCGTGTGGAAAGTTATTGCTTCTGCTTGTATTGTTTGGTTGGAAAGCCGGATGACGGAGCAGACATTAGAACAGAAACGTGGAGAAACTATCAGCGTCTCGAGGGGGAGGGGCCTGTGCACGTCAACTAACGGGGAAGGAAAACATAGACGAGAAACTGAACTGACAGAGCAATGAAATGAAATCGGCTGCAGCTGCCTTACATGTTAAAAACAAGAACATTTTCACATTTATGTCAGAGGATCATTGCTTCATACATTTACAGACCTGTGACTTTGTGGATGGTAATAACACTGCGGCTCTGTGTTGTACAGTTTTGACGATACTTTGGTCCATAAACAAAGGTGTGATACGCATGGGGCTCCTCTGGACGCTAATGACTCCTCCAGCTGCTGGCGTGATTCATAAAGTGGCCAGGCTGAGAACAGGGGGCATGCTGGGGCCTTTGTTCACCCCGGGGTTCCCTTGTACTCCTTCCTCTATCGCCCTGCTGGCTGGACGTAGCGTGAGGAGTGCTTGGTTGCATGAGAGCCCACGGAGGGACGTTAATGGTCTTGAGTATGCACCTCTTTCCTTTGTTTCCCCTGTGACCTCATATTTCACTACATCTACAGAACATACAAGCTGTGCTCTCTTGCACCGCGGCAGTTCTCTTTTTACAAACATGCAAAATATTCTTATCAAACTGCTATTTCAACAGGTCAAGAATGAACCTCCGAGCTCAAGCAAAATATTGTGTCATCTTGAGAAGTGTGCTAGAATCAAAAAACCATGGGGAAATCCCGAAATCTGAACTTTAAACAAGCAAAACTAGCAAATTAAACTTCAGAAATTCAAGATAAAGGTTCTTGAAACAGGACAAACCTGCGGGAGATTGGGGACATGGAATCCAAGTGGGACATGTTTGTTCAAAGCCCCCATTGCCAACGCAGCTGCCCTGAGTTGTAGCCAGAAGGTTGTGTTGGTGTCTTGTTATGGTAGCAACCAAAGAATGGAGGAGGATTGTTAGGCTGAAACAAGGTCTTTTCAGTCCTGAAGGCCTTGGTGGTGTATGATGCAAGGGACACTTTGAGGAACTCCTGAACCCAACTGGCAACCTCTCTGTGTGGGAAGGCTTGGGAGGTACATCTCAGTTCCCTCGTTTGATCAGTCCTTGCTCCACCTGGGAATTCTTCATTCATCTTGAAGGGCATCCCAAATCTTAAATTTTTGCTCTCGGGAGCGGGGACGTGTTCTCTAAGGAGCCATGAGCAAGGATGCAAAAGCAGATTTCACCTAAGATGACAATTCAGAGGAGAGGACATCTCATTTCTCTAAAAACATATTTCCAAGTTTCCTCTCTCCTTGTATCTCTCTTCGCATCTTCAGTGGGAGGGACTAAGGTGGCAAGGAAAAGACACAGATGAGGAAAACGTTAATGCGGTTAAGGGAATTGAGGTTTACCCCCCCCCCCCCTCAGAGCTTCACCCTGACACATGAGAGGCTCTGGAGACTGTTGGACTGTCTTGGCAGATTATTTGTGTGTTGCATGTGTGTGTCACAGCGTTTCTGTTTTGCTTTTATGCATACAGTTGCACGCATGTAAGAGTGGTCTGATTCTTGAAGCAAAGCCATCTAGTGTTCTCTTCAAGGATGTGTGGGATGAATATGATAATACGCTGCTCAGACTTGTTCTTGTCAGCTGTAATTACGTTCCACCTCTCAATCACCACCACCATCGCTCTGATTATCAGGCTCTAAGCTCTTGCTAAAAATAGTTTGAATATCTTACAAAAAAAACATCAAGACTAGTTTCCTTGTAACAAGTTTAATAGTGTATTTCAAATGGTGATTTGCACATTTTTTGTATCTCCCATAAGATCAAATTAGATTTAATCAACCTAAAATGAGCTATTCTGACTTCTCTGGTAAAACTGTCTCATATCAGTAAAGTTAAATTCTACAATATAAATCCTCATTGATTTCCTTTTCTTTCCTGTTCAGGTTCAACGTGCACATTTCAAACACAGACACGATCCCTGCCACTTATCATCCAGTGTCACCGAATCAGCCTCGGCTCCATCCACCTTCACCCGCAGCGCCTCCTCTTACAGGAACCGCCGTTATCATCACCGAGTGACATCCCATCCCAGAGCGCACCAGACCTCCCACATCTCCCTCCCTCTGGCCTGCGAGGAGCAGGATGAGCAGGAGCAGTGGCCTGAGCGGCACCACCCTGACAGCTGGAGGACCCAGTGGAGGGGCCACCAGTCCGGGTCCCTCTTCTCTCTACCCAACGTTGGCTCAGCCAGCTCCCGCTCCACCTGCTCCTCTCCTGGACCTTCCCCCAGCCCCCATTACAGGAGTCACTCCCTTAACAGGCGCTCCTCCCTCATCCCGCCCTTCCGGCTCAACGTGGATGCTCTGGTTGGGGCAGAGGAGACGGATGTGGACACAGGGAACAAAGTGAAACCAGTCGGCAATGTGGACCTTACAGTGGTGTCTGCCTACATCAATTCCAGCCTGCCACAGATTTGTCGGCCGTTATCGGCACCACCCGAAGACATCGGACCCTCCCTCTCACCTGGCATCCCAGAGAACACCTACAAGGCAGCCACACTGAGCCGGATCCCACACAGCTTCTCCACCAGCAGCACTCCCTCTACTTTCCTGGGGTCATGCCCCCAGAGCACCGGTGTGACCACAAGTGCGGCTCCATCCCTGAGCGATGTCTCCATGAACCAGTCTGACAGCTGCAGCGTTATTAGTGCACCAATTGAAGAGGCGGACAAGGCAGAAGAAGAAGAGGACCAAGAATTCTACATTTGATTGACGCAGTCTCACCAGTAATGACTTGTCTTCAGGACTTGCACCGTCAAAACGGCTCCACTCTGCGCTCTGGTGTTTGAGAGTAAAACTACAGGCCAGTGTCAGTATAAACTGGAGCACAGCACAAACTGTATTTAATGTTCTTGTTTATTTGTGAATGTTGCTTTTTTTTTGCATGTAGATTCAAGCTTTGTAAATGTCAGGTCATATAAGTAAATGAAGTTACACATTTAAAGGATCAATCACATAACTGTGTACAGATTCACTATTCAATAAAATTATTTCCCTCTCAAGTGTGTTACACACCGTTACTATAAGGAAACTTACCAACATTCATTCTCCATTTTATTTACCTGTAGGTGTTTAATCAAAAAAGTAGTGTTGGTTTGAGCATGAATGTGAGTAAAGGATAATATCCACACAGTGTAAAGAGCCTGTGGTATCTGGAAATGATTTAGAGAGAGTTTTTAGAGTGAGTTTTATATTTCATGCTAATTTCATACAGGTTTGTAGTAATAGATAAAAAATTGAAGGTTCTGAAAGCTCAGACCATCAGTCAGCTGATTCCTCAGTGTGGAGCCTAATTGCCAACAAACACTTAAGAAACACAACAATTAACCGGCTAAACTAGGAAACCGGCCCTGAGGTTGTTCTTTACGTGACAGACACTAACCTGAAGCAGATGACTTGAAGCGTCGTGAACACTCCTGCAGTTCATGGATTACCTGTGTCTAAAGTTGTTGTGCCTTGTGCACCGGCTGTGTGCACAGGTGGGAAACAATGAGGGCCTCCACCAAAACCATGTTGCTGCCACCTATTGGCTTGGAGTGTGTATTGCTCCCATTTGGTAGCACTTGGAGTCGTGTGTGTGTGTCCACCTGATGAATGTAAATACAATATTCACTCTCCTGTTAGCTTACCTTTAGCTGCTCATCAGAGCTTAGCTGTTCCACTCTCTTCACTAGCTAGTATCTAACTTTGTCTGCTGTTTGGTGCTGGGCAGGTAGAGTACAGTGGGTTAATCAGAGAAAACAGCTGGCTGCAGCTGGAAACAAGGTTGATGAGACTCAACCACACAGTTAATTTGCTATAAAAACCAAGACACTGAGCTAAAAGCTGCATAGAGCTGCATGGTTGATAATTTTAATAAGTTTCAACATTAATATAAAAATATCACATCCGCAGCAGAAGGTGGAAGAAGGCAGTAAACTTTGCCCAGTTTGATACTGACAACAAATGGTTTGTTGAGGAATCACCAGACCCTTAAAACAGCTTAAAATAAATGCCTCAAACTTGAATTCCACCTAAACACCTAAAATAATTGCAATCTACACACACACACACACACAAACACACACACACCTTCACTCAGTTTCTGCCTCAAGGTTCCTAGGTTTAGGAGACAGGATTCAGTTGCGCCTTAAGTGGTTGAGGACATTAATTAATAAATATGGGGAAACTGAGGAGGGACTCACTTCGGTGTACTCATGATCATTAGTAAGTTTAATGATCATTATCAGGTTAAAAATGACTTAGTCCATGCCTGTTGTCATGTGAATGTGGAAACTTTTAGGGGCTTTTAAGGTTTATAGTTTGGTGGATAGTGAGACATGGTACATTTATAAAACGTGAATTCAGGTCAATTTATTTGTCAGGCACATTTAAAAACAACAAATGTGGACCACATGCTTGTAAAAAGTACAAAACATGAGCATAAATTAGTCTTGACAAATATAAAAAGTACGACACAGAAATCTACAGAATAATAAAGACAATATAAATGTAAGTCATAATAACATTAAAAAAATCTGGTCATGAGTTAGTCCTTTGATAATACAATGCTGCCCTCTTGTGTTGAACTTTGAGGATATAGATTTAATTTGACTCACACCCAGAGATTTTATCATCATTAAAGAGCTGTATCTTGATTTTTAAACCAATGTCTAAATGAATAAGTGTAGTTAATCCAAGTTAATCAAGTGTTTCAGGGCTTGGTGGAGCAGCGCCGCTGAGTGTCAGGGCTGTTTCACCGAGGCCTGCGAGGCTCCTCTGCGTCTGGGGAAATCCTGAGCGGCCTCTTGTTTCAGCTCGGCCTGTGAAACCTGCCTCTCTCTCCTCAGTCTGAGCACTTAAACAGGTGTGAGTCCGTCTGTGTGGCCTCTCCACGCTCTGAAGAGGGGAAATCCAATAATAGTGCTCACTGGTTGTCATGGCGAAGTCTCCTTGCAGCCCTGCAGAGGTGATGTCATCATCGACCAATCAACACAGAGAGTTGTGTAATGTGTTGCTTTTAACAGTGCAGAGGTTACACATGAAGAGGATCTGGAAAACAAATCAGTCTGCGAGTTGTGAGAGTTCCTGAGATCCTTGACAGTTTTACATATTTTATACAACTGTCTAAATTATATTTTTGCCCTTCATTTTACAAGTTGTGCGTGAAAGTGGCCCAGATCTGTGCAGCAAGTGACACAAACTGATAAACTCCAGACCTTAAGGGTATTTCAGTGCTTATCATTATTGAATTGAAGCTCCAGCAGTCGTAATAATCACCTCATGCCATCTAAAGTGTTTATACGGCTGTAACACCCACAAACCACAGATTTTTTTTTTTCGATTTTTTAATAAATGAGGTCCTTTCTAGGGCCACATTTAGTATCTCATGCAGTTATGTATTATATATATATATATGTATATATATATATATATATATATATATATCTGTGGGTATTTGGACTCATTTGGCGCAATGAGGCCAGTGAGTGCTATTACCACTTACAGCAGTTATTCCTAACCAAGGGTACTTGTACCTCAGGGGGTACTTCTGCAGCTACAGCACCGGGGGGGGGGGGGGGGGGGGGGGGGCAGTATGTGGGAAGGTTTTGGGGTTAGCTCAGCTGATTTACAGTATATCCACGTTTGTGTTTAGGAGGAAAATCAACACACAAATACGAAATAAGAACTAATAACACCTCAACCCCAATTACTGCGACTGAGAATGTGGGAAAACTATGATGTAATCTAGCATGAAATTTGAAATGGTTATCTAAAAGTGATATAAAAAAAAAAAAATGGTTGAAAGGTCTGGCTTCTTTCAGTCCAAGCGGTCACAGTACAATGCAAAGAGAACAAAAGAGCCCCAGCCTAAATATTGACATCAATTCCAGGAGCACTGTGTCTTACATGAGTGCACACATGCAGTAAAAGTGTAGATCCACCTCATGAGCCCATCTACTGAAGGGGCAGAATGAAGGGGTCCTCAACTCACCTGGTAGGGACACATCAGACAAAAAAGACTGAACCGCTGCCCCACTATAAAGCAAAAGCAAAAAAGTAATAAGCACTTCAGACATAATGTTTAACCTCCTGCGGGGGCGACTAACCTGATATCAAAAGAATAAATAAACAAAACCATTTTAAAGTGGTAATAATAAAACACAAAAATGTGACATTGATGGAGAAATAGAAAAACTAGAGTAGGAATATTGCAAAGAAAACCACAGAATAATAAAGAGAGAATATGAGCAGTCATGAAGTCATTCATTAAAGCATTTTATTAATAAAAGAGCACCAATAAAGAAAGCTGAAACTGCCAAGACAGATTCAGAGTTGATCGTTGATTGCATGTCTGATGAGGCTACGAGAAGCCCCAATTATCCCAACCACAATTATTTTGAAATGACAAATTCTCTTTGAAACCAGAATCAGCTAATACTGTTGTGCTATTCCTATTCCTTGGGTGTCTGTTATTAAGTTTCCCTTTGACTTGGATGATTGTCAATCCTCAGTGACTTTAACTGTACCTTGAAAACACAAGACAGCCTCTCGCTTCAGTGCCTCATGGCAGCAGATGGTGCTATAGTGCAACAGAAACAGATCGAAAAGGTTTCTACAATTCCAACTATTTAACAATTCACTTACCTGATTCATGAAAGCCTCACAGACCAAAACCTCCACAGTCTGTGCTTCAGAGAACATGTGAGATATTTTCTCAAACATTTATGCCTCCCCATGTTTTTAAACGCCTTCATCATCTGCTGTGTGGTCACTCCCCTTCATCTCCTTGCGCTCAAAATAACAACCACCAACATTTTTCCCATGGTTCTCCAGAGCCACGCTCATGTTCCTGCGAGGTGAAGCCTACATGGGCCACGTCCCCTCACGTCGCCCCTCTCCCAGTGCCAGCACTAGTGGCTCTAATCCGCCGTGGCGTACCTGGCAGATCGCTCTGGCGACACCGGCGTTGTTGCAGCCTGGCCCGGCCCCGCACACCAGCATCCCCTCTAATCCCTCCCAAAGGCCCAGGAGCCTGAAGGGAAGTAGGGCACCGGAGGTGAAGCAGAATGAGTCAGTCAGTCACAGAGAACTGTGCTCAGTGCATCTCTGCTCAAAATTCAACTCTGCTACTAAACCATCATTTACACAGCTGCCACTCATACAGGCTGCTTCAAAACTGTGTGGGTTTGCTTTTTACTTCTTGTTTGATATTTCTCTTTTTGTTTTTGTTCTGTTCTTCTTCTGTAGCTGTAGTCCTTCTTCCTCTGTTGTTCTAGTTCTTCCTCTGATGTTGTTGCTGCTTCTCTTTTTCTTTTTTTTCTGTTATATTTTCTCTCGGTCGCACGGAAACTTAAAACACAAGAAATTTAACCATGAGTGGGTTTGTGGTGCAGTTTCTAGCCTGTGAACTCCTCCTCCTCCTCCTCCTCCACTTCCTCCTTCTCCATTCATTATCATTTTTCCCTGCACGGTCAAAGGTCACGGGCTGGAGAGGGGACTGGGGTGAGAGGTCTGAATGGAGAGCCTGGGGACATTCTCCACCACTTAGGGATTAAGTTGCTGCCGTGTGGAGAAAGGCGGAGGCGTCGCAGAGTCACACAGACACTCGTCAACGAACATGTTGGAGGATGGAAGGAGAAATTCTCATGGAGTAATAACAACAATAAGCTGCTGGAAACACAGACTGGAACGCACGTGCATGTTAAGCATTAGTACCGCTCTTAAGGATATTTCCAACATGCATCGCTTGAGTAACACTTAAACCAAAACAATAAAGCTGAAATATTCGCTTTCTATCATGAGGAGTGCCTGAAATTAGAAAGCTCTGAAATTATTATGGGTGAAGCTTTGATTTGCAGTGTTTATACAAAGTTCTGAGGTTGTTCATAATTTCAAAAACATTCCCGCAACGCAAAATACTTGTTAACAAAGGTGCAACACTCTGAGAACACACTGAGGATGTCATCTAGAACACAGACGTCAGGAAGAACATCTCACTGGGACGCCGTCTGGACTGGAGAATCGCAAAAACAGTTCACACACATTTTAAGAAATTGGAATTATTAATAATTCATAATAATGGATTCTTTAAAGAGTTTTGTATCAGAATGTTTTAAGTTGGATCAACAAAAAATGAATAAACAGCAACTGTTTATCAAAGTACATTTGCTGGTTCTTGCCTCTCAGATGTGAGTGTTTGCTGTTTTTTTCATCCTCATCACAAATCAAAGATGTTTGGGTTTTTTAAACTGCTGCTTTAGACAAACTTAGCATTTCAAAGACATGCAGACTCTAGAAAATCATAAATATAATTTTTTGACATTTGAGAGACCTGTTAGTTGCAGCCTGAGCTTTAAGAACATTTAAAAAATAATAATGATGATGATGATGTAACCCTCTGTAACGTTTCCCATAACCTACTGGTGATATTACGGGGGAAAATAGCAACTTGTTCATTGATCGCAGGATTGGTGGTCAGATCCCTGACTCGTGCTGTGTACATGTTGAAGACTCCTTGAGCAGACACTGAACTGCAAATTGCTCCTGATGACTGGGGACCATGAACCAACTCATGGCGGCAGTAAAGGAAAAGTTGGGGGATTGCCAAAGTCATTAGGATACACCTACATTGTCTGTCAAGAAGCTCTGACCTGCTGATTGCACCAATCAGAGAATCAAGTCATCACGGTTCATCCTCTGGGGAATATGAATATCTGTACAAACTGTCAAAGCAAAGCTCCCAATAGCTAGATAGATATTTCAGTCTGCACCAAAGGAGTGGACTTGCCGACTGACAGACTGACATCAACTGGCATGGCTAGTGCATGTTGCAACTTCTCAGTCCTTTTAACTGCATGGTCTCAGATTTATAAACAGAGCTTTGTATCATTTTAACGATCAGCTTTCTGAAAGATTTTCATCTTGACTTGTCATTTGCTTATAAATACTTGAGACTTGACTCAGACGCCTAAAGGGCAGAGCAGCTCCGTCCTGTAGTAGAGCAGTATTGGCTGTAGCCTGGTACAAAGTGGTTGGCATGCCAGGTCACTACTTCAGCTTGACCTGGCTGTAACCAGGTGGCAGCTGACCAAACAGTGGGGTAAACTGGCAGCTCAAAGAGTGAGTGAGGGTGACTGTGTTGTTAATATTGGCATGTTGTAACGAAACAGTGCCAAACACACATAATTACCTGCACACATAGGTGAAGAATTGTTACCTTTAAATGTGCAGCTCCCGTCAGGCCGAGGCCTCCTGAGCGCTGCTCCACCCACCACCCTGACCCTGACCCCTCCGAGCAGCGGCAGCTTGCTTTGCAGTCGGTCCGAGGATCAGAAACACAGAGCACAAATCATTATTTCTACTTCACAAATATGAACCTCTAACAAAATGTTCCTCCAAAGGCCCCACAACCGCCAAAGATAAAAGCTGCTGTTTATGGCGGCATCTTTTCAAACAATTGTCTTTGGTCAGTTACCGTGACGTCTCATCTCCTCCATCAAAGTCCTTAAAATTCCAAATTCCCGCCTCCAGAGTCGGGGCGTTGGGTTTTAAAGAATGTGGCGATTACATTTAATGAAGCCGAGCCATGGCTCCACTAATTAGTCAAGTCCAGTAATGGCCGGAATCCCCTGTTAGACAAAGCAGCCAAATACCTGATGGCTACCAATCATGTTCTCTCCTTCATGGGAAAAAATGCCCACAATTTATTTTGCTGACTGTCATGTCCCCAATTAAGAGGGACAGTTGAGGGGAGATCGCTCCACAGCAGATTGATTTTAGGTGAAATAGAGGGCATACTATCATTCACTGTGGCCAATTCTTCATGTTTTTTTTGTTTTTTGTTTTTGTCTTCACATGCATTCAGATGAGTGCATGTTGTGCTGTAATAAGCGCATGTTAAAGTAAGAATATCAGCAGGATACATAAGTATGCATGATCTGTGTTGCAGGGCTAGTTAATGTAAGAAACTGTACATAATGAGCTGTTAGGTTTTTCCCCTAAAGTAAGAAGTGAATTAGACAGAAGTTCCTTAATTTACTCTGCTCACTCTCACTGCAAAGTCTCAACATTAAAAGAGCTGAAAATGATGGATCTTGAGGCAGACTCTATAAAGCTTTATCTGTGTGACTGCTTTAAAATGTAATGACATTCAAAGGCCTAATCCTTGTCGACGGATTAGAGAGACATCTTGCAGTTTCATCTTTTATACTAAGAGGAAATAGTGAAGATTTTTATTGCTGCTGCCGCTTTCACTCCAAGGTTGTTTGCCACCTGTATTATGACAAGAATCACAGCTGAACAGACTGGGAGAATGATGACCGGATTGTACTTTGCAGTATTAATTGCTCTGGTTGTGCCGCTGAAGTGTTCATTTTGTTTTATTTATTTATCTATTAATCATTTTCTTTCTCCTCATCACATTTTTCTTCTGTAAAGGATTTGAACTGTTTGCAATGGTGAATATCATTATGTCCATCAGTCCGCCACTCTGAACTGGACTGTAGTAGCTATTAGATGGATCGGCATTAAATGTTGTGGGTCCAAGTCAAGTCTTTATAAGCCAGTGGCAAATCAAGATGACACACTTTTAGAGCCGATAATTAAAATGACACAGACGTTTATATAGCTGAGACTATTCAATGAAAAGGACCAATAATTAGTGATATATTTGTTTGATGCTGACTTATACATTTTTACTCACACTAGTGCCGTGGCTCCAGGGGAGGTGGAGTCAGTCTGTCAGTCAGCAGACTGACATATCTGGACAGCTAGTGGATGCTTAATATTTCGTACAGATGTTCACAGTCCCCAGAGGATGAATCCTGGTGACATAACTCTTTGACTTTTCCTCATCAGCACGTCACAGCCACAAAATTCATGGTCCCCAGACAATATAGGCATATCCCAATGACTTTGTTGATCCCCTGACTTTTCCTTTAGTGCCACCATGACGTTGACATTTGTGATGTTTAGTGAAATGGATGGATTGCCAAAAACTTTGGTACAAACATTCGTGTCCCCCCTCAGGCTGAATTAACTTTGGCGATCTCTTAACTTTTCATCCATCACCATCATCAGGTCAAATTTTTGTTTGTCCAGTACTTTGGCTTATGATTGAGCACCATTAGCCTCAGCTGGACTTTCTCTTGTGCTAATTAGCAAATGTTACCATGCTAACACCCTAAATTAAGGCGGTGAACATGTTAGCATGCTAGGGTTAGCATTTAGCCCAAAGCAGTGAGTATAGAGCTGCTAGAATGGTTGTAATGGTCTTGTTTTTAAATGAAAAGAAATCATAATAAACATATTTTTTTGGGGCATTTTATCTTCATCTTGATTTGAACAGATGTGATCATCCACTGACTAGATTTTGATTTTCAGTTTTGATTGTTTATATATGTCAAAGTATACCCTAATCTAATTTATATTTAGCCCTATTTAACTTAATCATATTTAGTCTAAATGCCCTTGTCAAGCTGTACACAGAAGTGATAAAATGTTTCATGATGACTGAGATGCTGCTATTCATCACATGCTGGAGCAGCAACATGTCCATGATGAGTGAGTCCACATTCCACAGAGTGAAACCAATTAGAAACGCTGACGCAGCAGTGTGACGCTCAGAGCAGAAATGTCTTTTGATCAACACAACAAAAGGCTAAATGACTTGTATAACACAATGGATGTCTTAGTCTGTGTGTGTGTGTGTGTGTGTGTGTGTGTGTGTGTGTGTGTGTGTGTGTGTGTGTGTGTGTGTGTGTGACCTTTGAAAAGAATAGTTAATTTTACAAATTACAAAGAGAGCAAGGTAGAAAATCTTTATATTTGTGCGTTCCTGAGCAATACATTTTGCATTTAGTCAACATACTAAATTCTATTATCATGGCCATATTAATCCTACAGGGGGTCCTAGGGCAAAAAGTTGTTTGTGAGCCTTAATTTACCCACTGCTGGTAATTATTTAAGAATATGCACTAATAGTATACATTTTGACAGTCTATAAGACAGGTGGACAAACCAGTTAATAATGAAGGACCTGACTTAAATATGTAAACAGTCATCTAAGCTTTAAGACAGAAGGCAGCTCTGTCCAAATAAAATAAAAAATAAGACTTTCTGATAAGGCACCATTCATAAAGGGATTATAAACTGTAGTAATTGGCTTCATTAACAGTTAATAAATCATTTATTAATGCTTCATAGATGAATATAAGACATTAATAAGTACAACTTTTGGGTTGCCAGGTTGTGGTAAATCGTCCTCCAGCATGACACCTTTGCTCATATCTGACAAATTAAACAATATGAGAGCAAACGTGTTAATTAGTGAGTTTAAGAGGTTGTGGACAGGGCCGGGCTAGCTCTAATTCCAGTCTTTATGCTAAGCTAAACTTGAAAAACGTGGGAGGGTATCAGAGCTAACTATTGTTCAAAACTTAACTATTAATTAAAAACTTAACTATTAATCAGATGCTTCAGATTGTCATCATTTGTTTACATTGTTTAAGTCTACTCTACATCATAATTATGAGATGTCTATATCATTTCAATTTTTCTTCTTCTTCTGTTTTTTTCCCCCTGACAGGAATGTGTTCCTATGGCCTATTAATAGTTCCCAACAAAATTTCACAGGTCGTGCGTGCGCGTGAGGTGCCTTGCTGTGCTGTGCGCGTGTGTGTGAGAGTTTTTTTTTTTTTTTTTTTTTCTTCCCTCTGCCCGGTTTGGGATTTGCTGGTCGGTGACATGCCTCCCTCCGCCTGGCTCCTTATAGCCCCGGGGAGGCAGGAATCCCGGACGAGTGGTACGGACATCGCCGACGGAGACCGGCGGAGCGTTCCCCTTTAAACACGGTCTTATGACTACAGGCTGCCTCAGTGAGAGACGACCGGAGGACCGGACCACAGACTGACAGCCGGGGAAAAGCAGGGGACTGACTCAGTGACAAGAAACCGGTGACAGTGACTGACAGCCGGGGACAGCAGAGGACACATCTCCCCCTGAAGAGGCTGAATGGTTGGTGCCAGTCCGCGAGAACAAGTGGAGTTAAACGGATACTACCTCACCTGTCTGCAGGTAGGACTGTGTCATCAGAGCTGATCAAGTAGATTTTAAAAAGCATATTAAAAAAATCAATAGTCCATTAAGTCAGAAGGTCAACCTAAAGACACGTATTATTGTCTATGACAATTTATTGGGATTAATCAATTTATGAAGGTATCACAATGTTCTTTTATTCCTACCAAGACTTGTGGTGACCTTTTAGTACTAAGAATAAATTCATAATTTCCATCTCTTTATGCAGTTGTGGAAAAAGTGCTCAGATCCGGTAGCTAAGTGAAAGTATCATTACAACAACTTCAAAGTACAGAAAGTCCTGCATTAAAAATATCTGCATTTAATTCTCTTTGCAGATAATATTTCCATTGGTGTATACAGCCTGTATTACCTTTTAAATATAATAGAGTAGAAGTTTAATGTGGCATATACAATTACTCAAATAAAGTAACAAAGTACTTAAGTACAGTACTTTGTTACTTATGATATACCAATAGGCTAATAATGTTGCAAGTGTATATCCTTCACACAGTGACCTCAGAGCACCTCATGTTATTTGCAGCCTCACTGATTATATTGTGATTATTCTGCTGGATGTAGTTGCATATTTACCAACTTATGTATATATAGATATTGTACCCAAATACAATTCATCAACAATAACAACCTTAAATTATTCTGAGATGAACAGGCAGCTGTTACAGTATTTATTAATATGTCTAATCTTAATATGTCTAATATTGATATAGATTATTATAATATGGCAAATGGCTGCAAAATAGAATAATCAAATCAATGTTCAGTGCAATGGGGTGTTTCAGTGTTATGCAATACATCAGACAAAAGTGTTCACACATGCAAATAAAGAATTTCAACAACAACACAATATAATGATACAAATCGCTGACAGTCAATAGTTGCCCACTGGTTGACCTCACTGACCTCGATCATGTGTTTTTTTTCCTTTGACTTTCTACAGGATTTAGTTTCCCTGACCACCAGTTGCACCCTGAGGACACTTCCCCTCCTGCAGCTCTGAGGAAATGTGTCGCCTGCCGGTGGCTTCACTCTTCATTTGCTTCTGGTTGGTGGAGAGAAGCCACTGCAACGGCAGCCTTCAGGACAGCATGGGAGAGCTGCACACCAGGTTTGCTGTCAGCCTCTATCAGACGCTCACCGAGACAGAGAACAACTCTAACCTGATCGTGTCTCCAGTGAGCGTCTCCTTGTCTCTGGGGCTGCTGCAGCTCGGTGCCAGGGGCAACACGCTGGCTCAGCTGGAGGGAACACTGGGATACAACGTGAACGGTAGGATTCGTCTCCGTTTCTACACACATGGGGACGAATGGGGAGGGGGGGACTTTTATTCAGGTAGCATTAGCTGCTCCTCATGCTGTGAGAGCGAGGTTGGAGAGGTTGTTGGTGGCCCTCAGTGCTGTTGGTACCAGGTGGTGTGGAGTGGTGCTGCTGCTGCTGTTGGCCCTACAGAGCACAGTGGTGTCTGGAGCCATAATACCTGCCTCCACACCAACTCTAATCTCATTAACCACTCCTGCGGCTCGGCCCCAGGGTCGAGAGGTCAGTGTGTTTAATTACAAACAAAATGCCAGTTGCAGCTGCTGTTTCTCTTACCTCCATGATGTGATCTCTTTGTCAGTCAGGGATGGTATTGGTTGATATTGGGCTCGGGTTTAGGAGGATGGCTTGGCACAAAATTTCCAGTTCTAACCAAAAAATAAAAAAGAAAGAAATCATGTCAAATTCAGTCAAGTTGAGCTGCAAGCACAATTTTCATAAATGTGTTCCGTCAGTAAAATTTTCAGAAAATAGTGAAAATGCCAAGCACAATTTCTCAGAGCTCAAGATGATGTTTTCACATTACTTGGTTTGTCCAACCAACAGTACAAAGCTTCAATTTACAATGAAATAGAAAAGAAGATTCTCATGTTTAAGAAGCTGGAAGAAGCAAATGTTTGATGAATAATGTAAGCGATTAATCGATGCTGATTTATCTTCTGGCGATCGGCTTTCTCGTTTCAGCTCTAAAAACATGTATTTGCAAGTTAATAAAACAGCCTGAGGGTCGGTCTGTTGTTATGAAGTTTAGCACTGCTACACAGGAAAGACGCCACCTTTTGGTAGAAATCACACTGTGTAGTAACTGCTCCTAGGAAATACTCATCTGTCTCTTTCTAAGTTTATTATAAAGACAAATTGCGTACATATACCAAGAAACATTGAAGCGTGGAGGCTGATGTAAACATTTACAGAAAGAGCGAATGAAACCAGCAAAACAGCAACAATACACAGTAAGTTCAGCCTCTATTCTCGCCAATACAAGATTATGTTAGCACAAGAATTATTACTCAAGGCGGCTCTATTTCCCGACCTGCAAGGTTGAGCATTAAAAGGTAGAATCGTAATGATAAAGAAAAAGGAGACTATAAATATAAAGAAAGATAGTAGATATAGAGATACGGTAGATTTGGGAAAAAAAACAAACTTATACGCAAGTTAGGATACAGAAAACAAAAAGATAACTATATAGCAACAAGAAAAAGAAATAAAAAAAAGATCAAGCATGAAAGGGGACCAATTTGCAACTGACTGCTTCTGCCTACTCACAATAACTGCTGTGGATTCTTATGAATGAGAGAATCTGTGTTCGCCCTTGAGTTTGGATCATTTCATCTGTAAACGCTCGGAGTTTATCAGATGAGAGGTCAGCAGGTTGAGAGAGTGAGCCGAGCAAAGCTCAAATTAAGTCAAATGAGCATCTGTTTGTGCACAGTCCTGCAGGGATACGGTGTGAATTCAGTTGAATTGTCGCCGAAACAAGCTCGAGGCTGCTGAGTCGGATATATTGAAGTTGTGATTATTTTGTAGAAGGGGTATCACAAGACATTTGTTCACAGCTTTTGAACTTGGTGTGGATTATATTTGTGCAAACAGTGCTGATGATCAGATGTTAAAGCAGAGCAAATGGTTGATAGATACTGAAACTGATAAACAGTTGACAGTGTTTCAGTCTGTCTGTGGATTCACGTGCATACAGCTTTTCTTCTTCAGCTAAGAAAGTTTAAACTGAAGTCTTCTTTTTGCAAAAGACTTCCTACTGCTCGTCACGCAGCGTCACATCTGACCTCTGCGTTTTCCTGTGTTGCAGACGCCCAGGTACAAGACTTCCTGTTGCACTCGCAGGGCGACATGAGCAACACCAGCCAGGGGATGTGGCTGCACCAGACCTGCACATTATTCATCCAGAGCGGTGTCCAGCTCCTGACTGAGTTCACCCAACACGCAGCGGCCTGGGCAAACACCAGTGTGGTCCGAGCCAACTTCAGCCAACCCAACCACACTCGCAACCAGCCGGAGAGATCGGGGCACAACCATGGTAAACGAGTCAGCTTTATACACCAGTTAGAGCTCCACTAATCAGTTTCTTTACACTGAGAATGAATGAAGTTAGCTTGGGTAATAAGCAAACCCACAGAGAATTATCATCAGCCTCTTTTAGTTCCTTGTTTCGGTGTTACAGAACATTAACTGTGTAGTTCAGTCTCATCAGTCTTGTTTCCAGACAATTAATGACTAGCTGGTGAAGGAAGAGGAATATTTGGCAGCTAAGAGACAAAAGATATTTTTCTTAGGAGTTGGGGCAAAGATCAAACCAGAGCTAAAAATGAGAGTTCAGTGGGATGATAATGTGGCTCCGTTCCTGCTGGATGTTCCCTAACATGTCAGCCATTAAAACTTGAGAGAGAGTTATTAGAGTGATTATGAATGGCATGCTGTTATAGAGAGATAATACATCAGGGCTGTGTTTTAGTTTGTTGTGGAGTTGCTCTGCCCCTTAGTGACCAGTTAAATCAAATAATGCAGCTTTAACTTTTCTAATTCTGATTCTTAGGAGCCAAGGAGTGTGTAATAATTCTCTGCATTTTTTTTTAGTGTTAGCTAATAAAAAGTAAGATTAAAGGAAAGTCCAAAACAAATATAGTTTGTAGATAATGTGTTTTTCCAGCTTTCTTATCCTTTCACTTACTACCAATGTCATGGTATCAATTATAGTTTTTCTAAAGAAAGTCTACGGTCAGTACTTTCCTCATCTGTGATATTTTCAGATGCTATTCTTCTGTTCATTGCGTCACAACACTGCAGACTGCTGACTACTAAAAGAGAAGTTGCACGCCCGTTACATTAAACTTTGACCTTCCCTGGTTACCTCTCAGATGAGACGTGGCCCCTCCAGGCAGGAAGCAGCAGCGGGGAGCTGTCGGGCTCGGGCGAGGCCCAGGCAGAGGCCCTGTGGTGGGGCCACCGGCTGCAGATGGCCCTGGTCAACACAGTGGCCTTCAGGGGTGTCTGGCAGAAACAGTTCCTCTTCACCAACACCCAGAACCTCCCCTTCACCCTCTCTGACGGGAGTACCATCAAGGTGCCCATGATGTATCAGGCTACAGAGGTCAGCTTTGGTAAGAGACACAACTGTTAAAATTAACTCCTCATACTGTGAAGTGAATTTTAGATCCTTAATATGCGATTGTCAGTTTTGTCTTTTAGCTTCTCACGTCACTTTAAATAAATGAATAAATGAAACAGTGGAAAAAGTTATAAGCTGCGCAGCTGAACTCGTTGCCCTCCATGGCAGGTCAGTTCAGGACGGCATCAGACCAGCGTTACACCGTGTTGGAGCTTCCGTACCTGGGCCGCTCTCTGAGCCTGCAGGTGGTCCTGCCCAGCGAGAGGAAGACGCCGCTGTCCTCCCTCGAATGCCAGCTCACTGCTCGCCAGCTGGCGTCCTGGGACACTGGCCTGCGCAGAACCAAGATGGACATTTTCCTACCCAGGTAAAGAAGAAAACCTATGCAGTGGATTGAAATAGTGGTTTAGATGGCTCAGACTTGATGTAGATGTTGTTGGTATTTACAGGTTCAGAATGCAGAACAAGTTCAACCTGAGGTCAGTGCTTCCTGCCATGGGCATCAGTGACGCCTTTAACCCGACAGCTGCTGACTTCACTGGAATATCAGGTCAATACATCAATTCATTTCAAAATTAATTCAAAATATTACTGCAGCTCTGCTGGTCAGCTGACAGTTTGTTTCCTCCTGCAGTGGAGGAGGGTCTTTATGTGTCCGATGCCTTCCATGAAGTGAGGATAGAAGTCACAGAAGATGGGACAAAGGCAGCTGCTGCCACAGGTGAGAAAAAGTCCTGTAAAATAATGATACGGAGCAGAATTGAAAGGTTATGATATGAGGTTGCTAAAAGAAAAAGGAATTTCTTACCTTTGCAGCTATGGTGCTACTCAAACGATCCCGTGCTCCTGTCTTCAAGGCGGACCGGCCGTTCTTATTTCTGCTACGACAAGTTAACACAGGTATTTACTATAAACTGTAGAAACTTTGTAAAGATATTGGAGAGATTGACAAACACATTTTTGCTTCTGGTATTTTCATGGCATTTTGTGACAGTTATTAAAAAATAGAATACGCTGACGCTTATTCTGAGGTTTGACTTGATTTATGTAGACTTGATGTGACTGCGATGGATTATACGACTCAAGCAAGTCTGCTAGTGATTTTCAGACCGTAAAAAAATTAACTGAAACTGACAGCGGTCTGTCACAAACAGCCTACATTCAGCAGCAGTCAGATACAATTTTAAGAATGCACGAGTTACATTTAAAGCCCCAATGTGTAGGATTTGAACATATCTGATTTCCTGACCTGTTGGTGGTGTTAAAATACACAGCCACAGGGGCAGTTGGATGAGCGAGCTGAATGCAAGAGAGGATAACAAGTTCCACCGTGTCGTTTTTCCACAAACAAAAAATAAAAAAGACCTTCAGTAGAAATAAAAAGAAGTTGAAATCAGACATTTTCTGCACGTTGTGACTTTGGAATTTAAATGTACAAAAACAGTGACATGACCCCTCAAACTTATATTTGTCATCTTCTGCATTTCAGGATCCGTCTTATTCATGGGCCGAGTGATGAACCCAGCTGACCAAGCGCCCTAAAAAAAAAACACACACACACACACACACACACACACACACACACACACACACACACACACACACACACACACAGACCCCTATTTCACTACTGGTATTTATTTGTGGACCAACAGGAGGGTCCACGGACACTTCAGGAAGAGGGACAATATTTTTGTACATATCTGTAAATAAAATTTTAATACATGTTTTTACACTTTGGGTGTTTCGATCCTTTCTTCCATTATTGCGGATTACAAATTTCTGCCTGACGCTCGGCTCCAAAAATTACCAACAAAGACGCAGAGTCACATCTTTACAGAACACTTTATTTACATGGCCCTTCACAGTGTAAAATAGAAACTTTATTCATGGAAATACTTACAAAAAGGCCATTTTCCACTGAACATTCTCTTTAAATAGTACTCTAGGGTTATTTACATCTTTACAGTGTATTCAAAATACTCTTTTGGTAGCGGCCTCTTCACAAACAAAGACAAGTATGGCAGATTTTGGTCCCTGTCCAAGGAGGGAGGGAACGGAAGAGGGCTGCCCTCTGAATCAGAAATCAACTCTTGACCTCTAGACCTTCATTCGGATTATTTGTGTATATTTGAGAAAATTGAACAGGTTTGAACCAAAAAATATGAGGATTGTTGGAAAAAAAAAATCTTCTGCAACAAAAAGGTAGTTTTCTCTTTTAAATTACATTAAATAAACATTCTCAAATTTACACAAGTGCATTCACGGTTAAGTGACAAGAAGTTGGTTTGAGATTCATGGCGAGGAGAGAGGGAGTTCGGGGTGGGGGTGGGTGGG